ACCTGAGGGCTCCCCTGGGGAGGATCCCCCCACCCCGTGGGAGACCAGCCCAGCTGTGGTCCTGCCCCTTTCTCCCCAAGGACCAGCACACAGCTCCCCACCCTGAGCCGCAGGTGGGGGTTGGACGCTGCTCTGGGGCCCCGCTGCTCCCGACGTGATATCAAAGCTTCTCTGCTTCCAGGTGCCCGGCCGAGGGGTGGGCACGGAGAAGGGGGCCCTGGGTGGGGAGAGCCTGGCCCGGGCTGCTCTCAGGATCTCCCTCTCCCGCGGGAGTGAGGGCGTGGGGGAGGCATCCCTAAACAGGAGGGGCTGGAGCCAGAGAGGCCACTGGGAGCGGCCTGGCCCCTGTGGCGGGGAGGGCAGGAAGCAGCCCCGCCTGCTGTGCGCTGTGCAGAGCAGGCGCCAGGCAGGCAGGCCGACGCCCCTCATTACAGGACTGGGGTCAGCATTGCCCTTCCCAGGCCCCCGTGGTGCTCAGGCCCTCGTGAGGGTGAGGGCCGCACACCAGACCCCCAGGGCAGGCGGAGTCCACGGCCTCAAAATTCCTGAAGGGTCTGCAGGAAGGTGCTTCCTGCTCAGGGGCCCCTCAGCCCTCCAGCGCTCCCCGTCCCTCCCCAGCCCCAGTCTTCTGCGGAGGAGCCTCCGAAGCATTCCGGATCCAGGCTGCTTTGTCCCAGAGACTCTGCTTCAGTTTCGATGGTTCTGTGAAGCTCTGAGCTTCTCGACACTTACTTGCCCAGGGCCTGAGAGATGCGACACCACTGAGGTGTGGGCAGTGGCAGCGGGACAAGTGGAGCCGGGCAGACCCCAGGCTGCGGCCACTTCCTCAGCTTTGCTGCGGTGGTCACTGGCTGCCCAGGCCTGGGGTGTCTGGAGGAGGTGTTGGCCGCAAATTGGATTTTACACCTCCCGGCTGCAGGTGTGAGGCGCTCGGCCCTCAGGAGGCTTGAGGGGCAGCTGGGGGACACGGCGCCAGCTGCAGCACGTCTGGCCAGGCTGGGGGTGGGCTTCTGAGGGGAGGGCCTCGGCCAGGGGCAGGGCGGCCCTGGGGGCGGGGCAAGACTGGATATGGGTTTGCGGGGGCAGGAGATCACCGGTTCAGTTGTCTCCCACCTGGCCAGGAAGCGTGAGTAGCAGAGGACATTGGCTTGGGGTCCCGCAGGTTGAGGTCCCTGGGCTGGAGTTGTGGCCCCATTTTACAGGTGAGGAAATTGAGTCCAAAGGACATGCTTGCCTGCAGGGTGGGCAGGGAGCTTGGCTGCTGGGGAGAACAAGGCCGGGCCGTGCCGCGGCTCCCTCCCAGCTGCCTGACCTTGGGGAGTCTGGAGGGTTGGCCCCTTCCTGTGCCTGCACGGGCCCCAGCACCCCGTGCTGCCCGGTCAGCACTGCTCGCTGGCGCTGGTGAGAGCAGGTGTTTCACGGTGAGGAGATCAGGTGGGCAGGCCGAGGGCAGCTCGGGGCCAGGAGGAGGGCGCCCGGGGCAGTGCTGCTGTCGGTGGCAGCTGCCACCGCCCGGCCGGATTCTGAGCATCCCCACCCGAGAGTGACGTGTCACAGTGACCTTGAGCTTCTGCTGTCTGGAGCAGCTGCGAGGTCGAGAGCTGCACCTGCAGCAAGAGGCCTGCCCAGCAGGCGCCCATCTGGTGCCAGCACAGGACGGGCCGGGGTTGACATGACCGTCAGTATCCATGGTGCACCTCCTGGAACCAGCAGGTCTGGGTGGAAGGACCCCCACTCTGTCCCTCCTTCTCCTGGGAAGGCACAGAGAGGGACCGGGCTTCCCTAAGTCACACAGCATGTTGCAGCAGAGCCGAACTTGGAACCGGTCTCCGTGTCTCCAGGCCAGACGTGAGTTATGGGAACCCAGAGGTTGGTCACACTGAACTTACCTTTTGGGGAGAGTGGGGTGATGGAAAGAACACGGCTTTGGCACCAAGTGGGTAGACAAGAGGTGTTTGTGCAACGGGGGGGTCGCATCCCAAGGACCCACATCCCTTCTCTCCCATTTCTCATCCATCCAGTTCTCGACCTCACCCCCACCACCCACAGCCGTCTCGGCATGCAGCCTGGGTGCTGGAGTCGCACAGCCCAGGGTCGCTCACAGCTCCCTCCCCGTGAGCCTCGGTTTCCCGTCTGTAAAATGGGGCTGATAAATCCTCCACCAGGAGGCTGACAGAAGCCAGGCCTGCAGAGGGCTGGGGCTCAGATTCCATCCCGTGCTGGCTATACCTGTACCCTCCTTGCTGCAGGAGCCCCCGAGGACCCTGCCACGGGGACCCTCTGCCCAGGAGCTGGACTTGGCACTTCAGGGCACCTTGGACCATGAGCCACTGATCTGCAAGAGCCCCTAGCTGAGCCAGCCTCGGGTGGGGGGCCAGGTACAAGGAGCCTTTCCGCTCAGGGTGTACACTGTAAAATATATACAATTTCAATAACGCCTCCACTTAACAGGATACAACTCAGGCAAACAACCAAACAAAACAGAAGACAAAACAAAACAAAACAAAAACACCTTCCCTCTCCCTAAGGGAAGGTACTCCAGGTTCCATCCGTGCACTGTCGCTCTTAAGATATTTTCTAGAGCTGTCACCAAGCCATCACAATATCCTGCAGTTTACGGACTAAATAACAAACATGACCCCCTCTAATGCAGCCTGTGTAATATTGAGATGGGGCTTGGGGAGTAGAAAGCATGGAGGGAATTCATTAAATAGACAGCAGAGGGAGGAGGCCCAGCAAGTCCCTGTGGCAGTTATTATGGCTGTGTAACAAAACACCCCCCAACAATGGCGCCAAACCTGCAGTTATGACGGGGCCCTGTAGGGACAGCTGGTCTCTGGTCCTGGGCTGGAGTCACCCGCGGGCTTGCTCAGCCACAGGCCTACTGGTTATGCTGGCTGTTGGCTGGCACCCGAGCAGGGGCTGCGGGCCTGACAGCCGCACATGGCCCCTCCCTATGGCCCGGGCTTCCTCATGGCTTGGGCCCCTGGGCCCGGGACGCAGCCCCAGAGCGAAAGCTGGGCAGAAATGGCATCCCTTTCTGAGAGCCCGCCTCAGAAGCCACATAGCATCGCCTCCGCTGTTCTCCTGCGCCTGCAGGGAGCAATGGTGAGCCTGCCCAGGTTCAAGCGGCGGGAGAGAGGCTTCGCCTCTTGGGAAGAGTGGCAAGGTGGCCATTTCTGCAAAGTCTGACTTCCTCCAATCCCCCTTCACTTCCATTTTCTTTCACTGTGTGGGATCCATCCTTCATTCTGCGGGGTCAGGGTGTGGAGGGACTGCCTGAATGGGGCTGTGGCATCCTGCACTGGACACCATGGCAACACAAGCTTCTCCCACCTGAGACAGGTGGCTGTCTCAGCCCCACTGCAGCAGAGCCAGTGCTGTGACCACCAGTGGAAACAGTCCTCCTTGGCACTAGTTTGGGTGGTGTCCCTGGGATGGAAATGGTGTGACTCGCTGGGGGAGGTAACTTTCAGAGGCACAATGTCCATAGGCTCTGACCGTGGGAGCGGGGGCTCTGGCACACACCCCGTCCCGTGGGACGTCACCCCACCTCATGGGTGCTATTCCTGGAGGGGTCTTGCCGGGGCCTCTCCATTGTGCTCAAGGCTAGCTGCTTCAGGGTGACGGGGAGACCAGTAAATCCTCTAGGCATCAGGCATTGCTTTGCTTTGAAAATGGTTTCTTGGCTGGAAGATGAGGAAGGCTCTGGAGTCTCATGCACAGAAGTTCTTGCAGAGAAGCGGCCACTTGTCCTCAGTAGCTCAGAAACATCCAGCAGTCTTTCTAATCCGTTCAACCATCTCTCTAGCCACCCTGCACCCATCCATCCATCTATCCATCATTCCATCCCCCATCTACCCATCCACCTACCTATCCATCCGCCCCCCGCACCCCCATTCATCCGCCCATCCATTCCCCATCCATCCCTTCAACCATCCACCCACCCATTTATTCTCTTGACAGCCGCATGTTCTAAGCACCTGCTTCTCACCTGGCCTTGGCCCAGGAAGTAAGCCAGGACCCCTGCCCACCAGAAGCCCCTAGTGTGGAGGGAGATTCATACATGTAGCAGAGAAGTCCCAGCTTGCTGCAGGAGGCATGGGGGGCTGGAAGTACGCAGAAACAAAGGTGACCCAGAGCAGGTGGCTATGTGGGCTGGCTGGGGGCTAGGATGGCTTCCAGAGGAGGTGACGCCTGAACTGCAGGCAGGGCAGAAACCTGTCACCTCCTTCCAGCCCAGAGTCACCAGGCCACCAGGCATCAGAGACCCAGAGCCAACTCTGGCCTGAAGTTTTTGTTCTCCCTTTAACCAGATCCCCTCTCCCTTCCCCCATGAATTTCCAATTTAAATACCCAAATTGTTTACTTGCTGAAATCAATTGACAAGGGATAAGCTTGTATTTGCGATTCGATTGACTATGATACACTGTATGACAATTACAGCTTGAATGGATTTCTCTTTAATTTATTTTCCTCTTAACGCTCTCTTCCGCTGGTAATTCTGAGACTAATTGTTCTCGCCATCATTCTCATCAACTGCAGAAGGATAGTGAACGGCTACGGTGCAGAGTCTGCGCTCCCGAGCTGCCGGCCCTCAGGGCTCTGGCTCTGTGTCCCTGTGTCCCTTTCAGACTGCCTATGCCCTGGGACTGGAAGTTTCCACAAAACGTGTCTCCCCAGAGAAGGTTCCGCTGTCACGGCTCTGATGGGAGCTCAGGATGGGGCCGGCCAGGAAGGCTGAGGCCCTGCCTGCCCGGCCCTGCTCTGGAACTGCCACCCGGAGGGAGGCGGCAGGAGCCCCTTCCGCTCGAAGGCCAGGCTCCTGAGCGACACTCACCTCCTCTCTGGGCCTCAGTTTCCCCACCTGTGAGATGGGCCCTCCCTCCCCATCTCTGTGCCCGCGCTGCCCATGTCATCCTGCCTGGAGAGCCCTTCCCACCCTGACGCACAGTCGCAGCCGCCCCGGGAGATGCTCCCTCCTCTTCTCGCCCTCCCACCCTCACCTCCAGGGGGCCTCTCAGCTCTGGGCTCTGTCCTGGGGGCCGCTGCGAGGCAGGCATGGGCCAACTCGGGGTACAGGTGGGCGTCACCCCTGCCCTGCTTTTCAGATGGGCCACTGAGGCTCGGAGGGACCAGACAAGGCTGCAGACTTGCCCAGTGCTGGCCGCTGGGCAGCGCTGGACCCAGGGTTGGATCCTTTCCCACTGGGCCACTGCCCGCCTGAGGACACCTGCCGCTGCCTCCCTGGGGGCCTGCCAGGCATCCTGGTGGGGTAGGGGGAGCCTTCCCAGAGCCCCTCACCCACCCTGTGCCGTTCACTGGGCTCGAACCCCCACGCCCTGCCCGCTGGGGAGGGATGGGGGAGCGTAGCCTCCCCAAGTGCCCAGACGGCCAGGTGGTGACCCTGCTGGTGAGGCCAGCAGGGCCTGAGAGGCCGTGACCCCATGGCCACCCGCCTGAACGTGACAGCTCCCTCCGGGTGTGTCTCTGTGTGTACACGGCTGTGTGCGCATGTGTGTGTGTGATGACGGCCGCTCAGAGCCTGGTTGTGTGGTGTCCTGACTCAGGCCTGGCCCACCGGCGGGGCCCTAGGCAGTTAGTTCACTGCCTGTCTGGGCCTGTTTCTCATTCGTGACGTGGGGCGTGGTTGAGGGACGTCTGTGTGGCCTTTCACAGATGACAAGCGTTGTCTGACCCTCACGCGCGGTGGGGC